CGTTACAGGGCTGCCGTGGGAATGAAACAATATTGCCGGGCACGCTCATGCTTTCACCACGTTTTATTTAACAACAAATAATTTTTCACTAATTGTCTAGTGCAGAAGCTCCACTGTGTTCCGAAGTTGCCCAGCACCGAGGGAACACAGGAAAAAAGTCCTTCCGATGGCAAACTGAGAACTTGTACAGAGTTTTTCAAGGCAATTAAATAAACCAAATGAAGGTTCATTTCCGTTTTCAAACAAGAGGTAGGGAGGCACAGGGAGGAGGAAACACTGGCAAATCTCATGGCAGCACCTGCTTTAGATCCATCTCGAGAGATGAGGTGAGCGCTGTAATCCACACGGTGGAGGTTCCAGTCTGGGAAAGTTGACGCTTCCTTCGCTGTAATCCACATGGTGGAGGTTCCAGTCTGGGAAAGTCAACGCTTCCTTAAGCCGAAGGTGGCTCCCAGCTGCGAGGCTGCGCTTGGGCTGGGTTTGGTTTTTCCAGATGAGGTTTTCACAGTCTCTCTATTATTCAAAGTTCTGAAGAGGACGGGGAGTAGGCAAATGCTGTCACAGTATCAAAAAGTCTTTCAAAAATGAGTTTGTTAGTGAGAAAAGCGTGGTTTGCAAAGAACAGACCGTTCACATTGGGGTGCCGGTCCAGCCGGCTGCACCATGTTGCTCGTGAGCAGTTCAAGAGGTAGGTCTGCTCAGACGGTGACTTTCTCCATTACGCTGTCCGTGACGTGCACCTCGTCAGCTTGTACCGTCACCGTGGCCGACTGGCCGCAGATGTGCTGGTGGTCCTTCCAGTCCTGCCAGGGAAGAGCAGATGCTGAGGCCGTGACGGGAAAGGGCCCTTGGGAGGTGTGCAGCCTGCAAGGGCCACTGGACGCTGGCTGCTCAACCCAAAAACCAACCCAGGACAGCAGTGCCAGTGAGGTTGTGGAAAATTGACTAAAACAGTCAGAACCTTGACTAAAAGCCTCTCCTGGAAGGCAGCTCACGACAAGCCAGCACTCCTGAAGGACAGCGCCACGCAAGGAGTCTTAGTTCAGCAAAGGCGAGGAACACAATTCCTCCCAAGACTGACTTTAACTTCTGGTCTGAGCTAATTCACTGTTTACCAAGAAGCAGCAGGGAAGGGTTGTAGAAAGTGCTCCCAGCTACCTGGTCCCCACAGCTCACACGATGAGGTGTCCCTGCCCTTGTTTCTGGCGTTACTCTGATTTTTGGATCACCTTTGAGACAGTGTGTGCAAATCTTGGGACCTTCCCTACCCATTAGATTTGGACCCTGACCCACTGCCCTCCCCCATCACAACCGCCCGCTGGGAGATCGGCTGGCTGGGGTTTGCGATGCCGAGGCTGCCGGCTCGGGCAAGGCTTGTGCTCTGGCTGCCTGTACGACACGGAAGTGCTGCTGCCTGTTCCTCTCACTGTGCTTGCGCCCATCAGGCAGCAGGCAGAGCCTCCCAGCTCTCCCCAGGGTCACCCAGTCCTCCCCAGACGACCGAACCTGCAACTCACGAACAAGCCGATACCTTCCGCTGGCAGAAAGTGGAGCAGTAGTTGACTTTGTGGCATCCTGTGCACTCGTTCGTTGCCTCTCGGCCGCAGTTGACGCAGGACTGCTGTGAAAATGGACACAGAGTGACCAAGTCAGAGCACCGACAACAGGGAGATCACCCAGGTGTACCCGGTGCTGTAACGTGGCGCGACGCAGGAGCAGTAAAGCCCCATTTATCTCTAATATAACCTCGACACACAAACCCAATGGGCCCAGTGGCTTATGGATGTGCCTTCAGAGACCCGATCCCCATCCGATACCCAAGCTCTGAGTCTATCTCCAATTTAAAGGCTCAGAGGCAGGTTTGGTTGGTGGTTTGGTCTGGTTTACAATCCTGCGTACGTCAGAGAGAGGGTCTGAGGAGGGACAACATGAGTAGGCATAGGGATGGGACCCATCAGTTTAACCTTTCCCTGTTTTTTTGAGAGGAAAAGGGATCTGCTCCTACGGGCTGAGCAGGCCTCCTCCTTTGCCAGTCAGCAGCACGACTATGTACAGTGTCCCAATGGGGAAACGGAACACAGGGGAGTAAAATTAAGAAAGCGGTAACAGAGGCAAGGAGTTAAACCTAAAAGTAAGATGAGACAGGATACATGGAGGAAAAATCACGCCTGGTTTTTAAAGGATGTTTTTGTGTCTATCGCTTTAATCTTGTACAGTGACATCAATTAACATAACCTGTGTATTTAGGGGGGAATAGCATTGAACTATCACAAAAATAAGCACTTCACAGAGCACTCTGTTTCCAGCTCATTAAATTACTGACAAATCATTAGCACGTCAGAGCAGCAGTGGAGGCCATGGCGGGACGTGCTTCTGGGCTGTGAAGGCACTGTTAGCGGGGTGCTCAACACAGAGGCTCCAGTTCTCACCCGCTCCTTTCTTTTGAGCACAACCAACCTAACAACCAGCGCCCTGATTAACACCCACTTCCTCACACCATCTGCTCCCATCCTACAACAATTAACAGTTGCTGGGACTGAACTCTATTCGTATTCCTGATGGACAGCCAGGGATTCAGGCCACCAACAAGGGGCTTTAAGCTGCTCTTCGGCCTTGCAAAGCCTGTCCCGAGGGGGTAATTGATGGAGGCTGTTCGTAAGGGGTAGGGTATTGGAAAATGCTGAAAAGACACAGTGTGTGCACTTGGACCTGGAGATCTCTGACCACTGAACACCACCTGCAGCTGTGAGGGGGTGGGTCCAGAACTAACTCAACTTGTACTCCCATTCCGGGAGCCAGAGGGAACCCCGCAGTTCTGAAACCCATCTCCCAGGACAAAAAGGAAGAGAGTTTCCTTCCTACCACACCTCAGTGACGGCAGCCATTAGAGCTGCAGTTCTCAGAGGTGAGCGAGACCCATTAACCCGCCCAGGTGACGATAAAGGATTGTGCAAACCTGGAAGGCCTGGGAAAGGGGACGCACTCTGCTCCGACAGAGCATTAGTTCCACTCAGGAAAGCTCATTCTCTGCCCGAAGGCAAGGCCAGATACAGAACACACAAATTCTGTGGCAGTGATAAAATACTCAGCATCTTTAAAAGGAGAAAGACAAATAACAAAAGATGCTTCATACAACAGGAGACATTCCAGCTCACCTTGATGATGATTTCTGGTTTCCCATCCACATCTTCCGTTTGTTGAAATAACTGGTTCTGATATTGCTGCAAGGAAACACACACCAGCCTCGTCACTCCACAGCCGGGAGGGTTGAGAAGGGTGCTCTGCACAGAGGGTCCCGACACCCCACTTGCTTCTGGCAAGCCCCAAACTGCAGCCCAAGAAGAACCTCACCCTGCCCTTAGGAGAGAGGTACTGTGCCCTTCTGTGGAGACAGGTGAAGTCTGAGAAACCGGCCTGAGGGGACAAACTGCCAGGTCAGTACAGCATTCACCCAAACCCCCTCTCCTCACTCCTCCTTAAACCAGGTGCCTTGTCACTGCACCCCCACAGCAGAGCCTAAGAAGTCAGCAAAGGAAACATGACGGAAATCCCAAGGGAACAGGGCCAAGTGCCATCTCCTTGGGACAAATTTTGGGTCAAGTCCAGTGACCCTAATTCACGAGCAGAGAAGAGTCTGAAGGGATGGATGGCATAGCCCAGTGCTGCTGAGAGACGGGAGTCCTGAACCAAAGGCATTCAAATCCCATCCCGATTAATGTGCCAACCCTGATCTAAATCCATCTGTAACAGTTAAAAACTAAGAAAAAAGCCAAACCCCCACCTTCAGACAAAGCAAGTTTATCCAGGAGTGCCTATGACCCAACACGTAAGGAGATGAAAGGCTTAATTTACACGTGTCTCCATGACCTGACATCCCAGCATTTATTCTCCTGTGAAATCCCAGCCTTCAAAACCTTGATATTACCATCACACAAATTCAAATTAAAAAACTCCAGGGAGACGGAGGAGGCAGCAGGGAAGCCCCTTGCTGCACCCTGCAGGGGGGTGACTGGGCTCTGCCGTTATCTGACAAACAGGCAAGACCAGCAATCAGCGGGACAGCACTCACGCCCAGCACCCCCGCTACTGCGCAGGGGAAGTGTGCATATTTCCAAATGACTATTTTGCAAATCAAAGTTTTGTGCAAATCAAAGTTTTGTACAAATCAAAAGCATTCTTGCAGAAACAGGGAATACACCGGCAAGCTGGAGATGTGGCCTCTGGCCTAAGAATCAATCCTGCTGCCTCAGGAAGAAAATTACCCTGGTTCTTGAGAGAACCATTAACGTCAGTGAGCCCCGGCCGTGGAGCAGCTGGGAGCCAACGCCGGGTGCTGCAGCCTCTGCCCTCTGCCACCCCGCACACAGGCGGAGAACTGCGCTGGCAGGAAACTGCAGATCCTCAGGAAAGGTTAAAACGAGCTTCCCACTGTTAAGTGAAAGATGAATGACCCGTGTTAATAGTACTGGCCTAGGAAAACTGCGTAATGTTTCTAAACTTCTCTTTAGTGAAGAAAGTGGAAATACCGATGCCGAAGCCTGCGGTGAGCTGGCCTTTCAGCCCAGCTTGGAAACCTCTCACACACAACCCCTGCTCGTACCGTCCCCTCTGCAACAGCCCGCGCAGAGACGGTGCCAGGGCTGAACACGCAGAATTCCCGTTCTGATAGAGTGCCGCAGCTCCAGAATTAAGACCCTTCCCACTGCCACACTCCACTCCATCCTCCACAAGAGCGGCTAATCCTGTTCTCCAGGGATGTTGCCCAGGAGAGGCACCAAGGGGAAGCCCAGCCACCGCTGTTCTGTGTGAGCCAAATCAGCGCCTCCACCTCTGCTCCCAGCCCCCAAACCTGCTGATGGAAACCCCCCGTTTCACCCCCTCCTGTCTCCTCTTTATCCATCCCCACTGCGAGCCCACTGGTTCTGCACAGCCCAGGGGTGAGGAATTCGAGCCATGCAGGAGCTATGGAGAAGGAAAAGGAGTGAGAAGAGAGAGGATCAAGCCAGGCACATCCCGATGTCTCCCAAAAACCGCTCCAGAAAACCGATAACCTCCGATTCTCCACTGTTTTCCCTGCTACGTTGGAGCACACAAGCCATTATTTGCTTACCGCAGCTACATTTCTTAAATGCCCGACCTTTTTTAGGTTAATTTCATACTCTCTAGCCCTGAATTGTTTTAATCTTTCTAAAAAAGAATTCAGATGGTCCAGCTGTCAGCTGATTTAATCTTCCACCTTGTTTTCAAATGGGCCGGGCTCTGAAGGCATCGCTGCATTACACAGAGGGCTATTTCAATTACAACACTTGTCAGATTGCGACACTGATTCTTTTAAATTGATACTGAAAAACTGTTTAACGCACTTCTTGAATATCCTTCTCATCTTCCAGCAATGTCTTCTGGCACAGAATTTGGTGACTTCATGTATTCTCCCCCTCCTAAAGTTTATCTGCTGTAAATGATGGCTTAATGCACACTTTAAAAAATTACACTGCCAAAGCCCGCAGACCTCTGTGTGAAGTCCTGTCTTTAACCCGTTCCTTTTGGGCCAGTCCTGAAAACTGTCAAATATCTCTTGCAAGAGACAGGTTGCCCAGGAAACCATGATCCTTAAAAAAAAATTTACATCAATCAAAAAGGACAAAGATTGCAACGGAGTGCAAGTGAGGACTTCCAAATTACAAAATTATGTGCAAGAAAAACTCTGCTGGTGAAGCCTTTAGCTCCAGTACTTGGAACCTGACCCTGCAGTTGCTTTGGCACAGCTCAGGAGGTCGCCAGGCCCCGACACAGGGCACTATGTGGCTGTCATCCTACCGGTGGGGAGGCAGAGTGAACACCCCTCCTGTCAGACATGAGAGAATGGCAGACATGTATTTTTCCGTATTTTCCCTACCTGCCTATCCAGACAGGCGTTTACGTTCCTCCTCTGCACAACACGGTGCCTAAATGCTCAGCACGCCCCAGTTCAGCCTGCCTGTCCTTATCTCAGTGTTTGGAACTGCAATCAGGGATCCAATCCTCCTGCAAAGCTCTGATTAGACATGCCATCTTAGGGAAGAAACGGGACTGTAGATGCTTCTAATTTACGCTACACTTAGAATATTTTACGGTTTTCACTTGCCACATTTAGCAGATCCCCTTCCCGCCACAATTCCTCTCTGATGTTGGCATTTCCACCTTCAAAACCATACAAACGAGGGGAAGAATGTATTCCTAAGAGTCCTTTCAATAGTCCTGGATAATATCATTAGCAAGCGTGACCAGAATGAAACAGTGGTGTCTGCTCTTCAGCCTCACTGGTAAGAGTGTAAGTGTTCAGGCAGCACAAACACCTCCCCTGCTCAAAGGAAACCCGGAGCAAAAGCCTGCCTTCCACACTTCAGAGCTCTGCAAGTCCCACGAGCACTTGCCGCTGCTCAGTACAGAGTGCAACTGCTGGGAGTTACAGCGAAGCCAACCAAACTGCTGCTGTACGGGAGCAGACTGGCTCATCTCAAACACTTAATGAACTCCAAAGCTCGTTAAACAATCAGTGAAACACAACAGAGTGAGTGCTTTGCTATACACCACAGGGCATAGAAGCTGTGATTAAAAATTCTGAATGCTTAGTTTATTGCTCTCTAGGAAGATGGAAGCAAAACTAGCACACAAGGAGTTTTCCTACATTTGCTGTTCTTGCCACTTCTCTACTTAAACTCGGGCTCCCTTCAGACCTCCTCTGCAGGGCAGAGAGCACTGGCCCCAGCGCTGTCCCGCTCTTCTGTCGGAAGGCAGAGCCCCCCTCCCGCCTTTGCAGGGATGACAGAGGGGTACGGTCAGGGATATGGTCGGGGTACCGACAGCAACAAGGTCAAAAGTGCCTGAACTCAGCACCCTCAACAGCCGGGACAGCGAACTGGGGAAGAGCTCTGCACCGCTGTGAAAACTAAGGAGACTACTAGTTACAGTCATGGCAATGAAGCCTGTGCATCCAGCTGGGAACCAGCCTGCTCCCCACAGCTCTCTGTAATCCTGCGGTGTATTAAGTCACTCTTCCAGGAAGAGCTGAGTCTACAGCTCTATTATCATTTAATCTGCTGCACAGCCCTTGCCCTGCAGCTCTGGTACAATGACACCGTCCTTCCCTTCTAAATACCCAGAACATCCAGCTGCACAGGAATTCTGCAAACTGGTGGCTCTCCGACAGAGAAGCACCCACACTGCTGCGTTCACCGTCTCCACTCCTGCAAACGGAGGAGGTGGCGAGAAGGTTCCCCCCATTTGTTAGCCCTTGGAAGCTCTGCCAGTGGAACAAACACAAAGGGGTGATAAAGCGCCTATTTCCTTTGTATTAAATTGCTCCAGCAAAAATCAACAACCAAGGCAGCAAGACACCTCCTTCCCCCTCCTGCATACCTCGACTGCCAAAAAAAGCAGTTTGACCACACACATACTCTGGGTGGGAAAGACACTTGCCTTACGAATCAGGGAAACATTCATGAGATCAGAAAAGCCCCTCTGACCGACACAAAAGCAGACAGCCAATTATTTTACATTTATCCTAATCGCTTCCAATGCCAGCCCTGTACCCAGAAACCCAGAGTTTTTTCCAAAAATGGGATTCACTAGAAGGAATTCAGAAATGGCTACCTCCAGATGCTGGCTCACAGCAGCCAGCTTGAGAACTGTTATTTGGATATTAAAAAAATAGCACCGTGAGCAAGTGGTTTTGTCAAAATAGAAAACTGTGGAGGTACCCAATACACAATGAGAATGGTAAGAAAACAAACTGTATAACCGGGGACTCAATAGTTACCGGGAAAAGGACTCCTCGTGCTCTCTTTGCCTTGTAAAGCCAGCACTTCAATCAATACACAGGAGTGACTTCAACTCCCATTCCTGGGGCAAGAAGCAGCTAGAACTACACTGAAGCGAGCTGGATTTGGGTCGGGGGTGAGGGGACTGGACTCTGAACAACCATTCCAGAAACCACGGTAAGGTTAAACAGAAGGGAGGACAGCACATGAACGGGAAAAAGAGCAGAGAGTGAACTTAAACAACATCAGATGTTCAGCTCTAAACTGTGTCAAAGCTTCCAGTTTTTCGGTATCCCACACTCTACACAGCTTTTTAGCAGCAGACGGCCCACACTGGAGAGCAGCACGAACACCCATTCTGCCCAGGCAGAACGCAGGGAAGGGTTAGACTCCCAACATATCACACACCTGCACATCAAGGATGCAGCGTACGGAAGAGTTTAGCAGAGACAATGTGGCAAAGAATGTCAAAGACGCTGCAAGGACTGTCCTAGGGGCTCTCAGTTCCCAGCAGTCTTCCCACACATACTTCTTCAAGGCCTCCTGCTGCACACCCGTGCCTACGAATTCAGTGGAAAGCTGACGTTAGCCAGAACGCGGATGGCAGCAGCAGACAGCGTGGTGCACAGGAAGGGAGTTATCAGCGATCGACCACAACACCAGTTTCGCAGGACGTCGCCCTCCACTGCTCTCCCTCTCCAGCCCACACCAGCAGCTGTGGATGTGGGGGAGAAGGGAGCGCATTCAGCAGCACGTGGAGCCAGGCTCAGGGTGCATGCACGAATCCAGGGTCCCTACCATGCATCCATTAAAGAGAAGAAAAGCGGGGAGAACAGGGCAGTCCCTAGAGATAGCTCCTTACAGAGGAGAGAAGGGCCACTGTGTACGAGCCAACGTTCCTGTAATGCCAGCTGGCCTCGCACTCTTACCACAGGACTCGTGCAAGGTCAGCTCTGCTTGCACAACACTCAGCAGACATGTCTAAGTTTTACCGCTTATCTTTCCCATAAGCTCTACAGCGTGCTGTTCTTTTTATCCCTCTGCCTCTTTGGGCCACTGAAAGCCTCTTTAAAAGCTCTTCTCACTTGACATAGAGAAAGCAGCCACCGCTCGGCTGAACACTCACCATCCCTCCTGCACCAGGTTCAGTGCCCATGTCTCATAAATTTAAGGACGGCTGATGGGACAGCTCAGGACTCGTAACACCAAACAGGTGGTATCACCAGCCTGCTTCCCACAGCTCCTGCAATCCTAGAGCACTCTATTCCCTTCCCCCTGATATGAATAACTCGGAAAGATTTCTCTTGGTAATATACTGACCCAAGACAGAGAAACAATTTCTGATTTCTACCGTTACAGCCAAGGACACCCAGTGAGGTGCGACTCTTCATCACTCAGCCAAAAAGAGGCCCTTGGCTGAGTCTTCTCACCCTGCAATCCCAGAGCACTCTACTCCCTTCCCCCTGATATGAATAACTCAGAAAGATTTCTCTTGGTAATACTGACCCAAGACAGAGAAACAATTTCTGATTTCTACCGTTACAGCCAAGGACACCCAGTGAGGTGCGACTCTTCATCACTCAGCCAAAAAGAGGCCCTTGGCTGAGTCTTCTCACCTCCTCTGGCGTAATTTACCTCTTTCCTCTCCACATCAGCTTGAATTTTTGCTTGGGTGACAGCAGCCTCGCGGAAGGAGGAGCTGGCCTGTTTGGCCTGTTCAATGAGAGTCTTCAGCTGCTGGGCGGTGTGGAGCAGGGAATTGACCATCTCTTCCAGGTACAGCCAGCTCCGCTGCTCCGTCACTTCCAGCCCGTTCACCACCGAAGGGGATATGGCTTTGGTGGGGGTCGGGGGGGGCACCGCCAGGGCAGGGAGTGAGGTTAACACTGAATATAAAGAAAGAAAAAGAAAATATATAGAATTAGGGTGTGTCATTTCCATAAAGGGGAGAGTGGGGTGCGGGGGGGGTTGTTGTGTTGTTTGGTTGCTTTTTTAAAAAATATGGTCTGCAAAAAATTCCAGTCTGGCTAAGTTTTTGCTAAACAGAGCTACCTTCTGTGACCCGAAGTGTACAGAATGGGTCTGTGCAGAACAGGCCCCCGGGGCATTCTCAAACCCAGAGGACAGAAGAACAGTGTACTCCTGGCCCTGCTGTTTCCTCTGGGAAGGAATTAACACCTCCCAGCACTGCTGCAGAGAGGCAGAGGCACAATTCAGCAGCAAAAGCAGCATTCCCAGGGGCTCCTCTGCCCCTATCATCACAGTGTTCCACTTGATGTCTCCCTTAACTATTGCTAAGTGAGGTTAGAGTAAGTAATTCACTGACCCAATGCTTTTCTGAAACATTCTAAAGTCACAATGCAGACGTCAATTCTCAGGATGCAAAGCTACAAAAAATAGGCATCGATCCACACCACCACACTCCCCAATACCTCCTGAATTCTGATCTTATCCCTGGCCCAAGACTGGGATAAAACCAAGACAGTTATCATCACCTCAAAATTATATGTATTACAAACATGCACTTTCTAAAACCATCAGCTAGGAAGCTCTTAAAAAAAAAACCCTCAGTAACTGTAATTTCTTCAGACTCCCCTTCATCCTGGATCCTACCCATAAAACAAACTATGGCCATAAAAACATACAGATACTGCAGTTTGTAGGAAGCCACCGGAACGAAGCTAAACTCCTATCCTGGTAATCTGTAATACCACCAACCCCCCTCAATTATCATGGCTCTGCAGCCCTCCCTTTCCTAAAGCCTGTGTTAGAAAATTAAAAGTCCTAGAAAACCAGCAACACCTGTCTTAGCCTTACCTTTGCAAATGTTTTTAAAACCCAGCAGTTACTGTGTCACTAGAACATCTATTTTTCACAACACTAGGCTTGCCTAGACACTGCCAGACCACAGTGAGAGGGAATTAAATCTAGATCCAACAGCACACGGTGTAAGCTCACCTCAGGCAGCATTTCCAGGAATAAATGTTATCTGGCTTTACTGGCCTTACTTTTCCAAAATTTAACTCTAACTCTAGTGATAAGTACTTGCCATCTGCCATAAAATTAAGCCCAAGACATTCACATCTACCAACAACTGACCTCTTAATTCCCTGCTAGATTGTTTACTAGAAAAAAAGAGAGCACCACCCACCCTGGAGCTGTGCAGTCCTATTACCCCAAAATCTACTACTAGTCTATTTCAGGATTTTCCCTCACGTGTTTAGGTAGAGTTTCAGAAGGATTCAGCACACAGAAAAAGCAGTAAGTAGGCAGGCTAAGAAACCACATTCCTTCCAGGATAGTTCTGCATTGTCAAGGGAAGAGCTGTCAGTATTGCAGGCGCCACAAGGCGATTAGCTTCCTTGGTTTTTAACTAGTGAGTGCCACATTGATACAACAAACACAGCACTGTGCCCACTGATGGATTCTGTGGCTGAGCACAGCTGCTGACAGACCTTCAGCAGCACTGAGCCTGAAGTTTAATTTAATCCTGCCCGCATCCTGCCAGTGTCTGCTTGCCTTTTAGAAGCATTACTCTGAACACCTTGAGCACCTCTGCCGGGCAGCTCCTACTCCTGCTCCCACACTGCTGATGCCACCAGAGGGAATGCCCTGGCACTGTCCTTGAGCATCTCCAGATTTCAAAGGAGTGCCCTGCAGCCAGCTGCAGCTGCCACTGCTGGGTACTGACCACTGTCTTCATTAAAATGGGCCACTACTGGAGCCAGATTCTTTGCCTTGAAACCAGAGTTAAGAAAAACAAAGCCTTTATTCTCGTTTACTTTATTATCAGCCTCCCATCCAATCAGTTTTGGATGGCACTGCGGATATTGGCACGCTGGTCTGTCTGAGGTGGCTCCAAAAAAAAAGGCAGAAACAAGCCTCAAAGCTCTCTCACTGAAGGACAGGGACACAGCACAGCAAACTGCACAGCCCAGGTAGAAACATACAACAGCTGACTCCCCCATGCCGGAAAAAATCTTCTTGACTACACTTCAAATGGTACTTAGATGTCAACAGTAAATACTGTCTGGAAAAGAACCGCCTGTAAACGCTGTCCTTCACAACAGCAGGCCACCACACCTCCCTGCCCAGCAGCCAGCCCAGCAGTTCCACCCGCTGGGAACCCCTCCTTCCTAAAGCATCTGTAAGCAAACAAGGCTTCCTGCAAGACTGCACTGAACACCCAAATGTCTTCCAAGACAGCAACTCATTGAAGTGGACAAACATTTTAACCCTTTCCAAGTCAGTTTTTCATGCAAGCAGCAAAAGCTGGAAGAATCCAGCAGAACGAAGTCTCAAACCTGACTGTACTGCAGGTCACTGTGTGTCAGCCGTGCGATCTGTTCTGACCCACACATTGCAAGTTCACCACGCAGGTAAAGGGACATTTTACGCTCAGCAGCCCTTAATTAAAGCAGTAATTTCCATCAGTTTGCACATGACTGGCACAGAACTATTTGCACTTAGACACGAGTAAGAGATAAAGTGTTCTTTTAGCAGTAGCTGTTTGCAGAAGAGCCTTTCCCACTGCCACATTTCCAGCACGATATTTATCACAGCGTGGCATTTGATAACGGGAATTACTTCCGATTCCTCATTTTGGCAGAGGTGTACCAGTCAAGAGCAAGTACAAACCAGTGGTGGTGGGGGGGAAATATGTTTAATTAGTAACATCAAGATCTGACTAAGACTTAAAACCAACAACAAGACTTCATTCCAGTCAGAGCAGGAGCTGTTCTGAATAAGTAATAAAAGGTCGCACAGAAGGGAGAAGGCAGGCTTTAAAAAAGCAAAGACTTCAGACTGCACCGAGGAATACAGCATGTTTACATGATCTTTTCTTGATGTCTGAGAGAACAGTAACAGGGACCAAAACCCGCCTGTCTTACAGCTCCTCTGTGCCAGCAAGACCAGTACGTATCAGAGTAACTTCACAAAGTTGGAAACGAGGAAAGGCAGGGGGCTGCAAGGTGATGTAGGAAGCAAGACCACAACAACCTCCTCCGGCAGAAACCAACAAATCAAAGTTCTCAATAACTGAGTGATACACTTTCCAAAGAGTGTAAAATCTCTTTGTCCAAATCTTAATAACCGCAAAACTTGTAAGCAGAACAGAGCAAAGTGGATGTTTCTGCCTCAACCTTTCCCTTTGCTGAGAAAGAAGATGAGAGAGTAAATGCAAGCACTGCTAATTGTGTCCCACGTTACGGACATAAAACATACCTATTTTGGGATGAGATGTTGGCAGCGCAGCTTCAGGAAAAGGTGAAATCTGACAGCTGTCCTGGTAACTTGGATAGTGAGGTTCTGGGTGACTGACCCTGCACGGCTGCTGGACGTTGGTGTCTTGAACTGCAGAGGAACACGGGCGTGATGAACACTGGATAACGCAGCTGCCAGGCATTTCTTACGCTTTGTTCACCCGTATTTTTTTTACATTTTATACAATTTCCTACACTCTATGATAATCTCAGGGGTTGCAAATGAGAAACAGCAGCATGATCTCACACAGTTAACAAGCAAGGCAACTTTGTACTGATTTAATCTCTCTGCTTTCACTTTCAAAGGCAGAGGTTAGCTGGCTGCCCTCCCGCACACCCCTGTATTCACAATCATCACAGGACTCCAAACGATGGTTCTCGGAGCAGGACGGTTCCCGCAGCAGAGCTCACAACCCTGGGTATGAATCAAACTGAAAGAACTGAAATGTATGTCACGCATTTATATTTTGTTTGCTTTACTCTGACATTTTTCAGAAGTTTTTAATCATTTTTCACTTAGTTTCAACACTCAGCTAGTTTTCTATTTTTTTGTGCAGCATTTAAAATGCATCTTCCTATAGAAATGGGCATCCAAACAGTTTTTCTCTCATTCTCACGGACGTCTAGCAGACATACACCTGAACTCTTACCAGTGGCTCCAGTGAAAACATCACCCTGGGACGGACTTTCCGAGATAATCGCTGTGGCTTCCACCGTCGATGCACGGGCAAATGTCAGAGCACCAGAGGTAGTTATCTGTCCAGAAGGAGTCACGGTGACTGGAAATACCAGAAGTACTTTCATAATTAACACTCGGCGCAGAGGCCTGGGTTCTTTAGCTGCTCATGTCCCTGTTCTGAATCATCCAAAGCCAGAGAACTCACAGATCAGCACCAGGCCTGTGATAACCCAGGTCTGGATCACAGCTACGCCCAACACAACTGGAAATGGGAAGAAAAGCCCCGTTTGGCTTCTGAAGGCACTGCTGGCCTCCTGCAAGCCCCTGTTTATTCTCTGGGTGTACGAGGCCAGAACGCTCACTTAGAACATCCCGCCTCCCAAATCACCACCTTTCCAATTACTAGATGAGCAAAAACTTAACACCTACCAGAAACATCCAGCCGGGCCACAAAACCCATCAGCTTCTGGCTTGCCCTGATTTATTACAACTTTAGCAAGAGTGGATCTTACTACTTAAAGCGACATAAAAACCCCATGGATTACAGCCCATTCTGTGACAGTTTGGTTAGCTGAGCAATTCTAGCTGCCTGTCTGCACAGAGCGATGTAATATGCTTGGCCAATGCAAGTCACAAAATCCTTTTGGAAGAATATACCCCAGTGGCTCCAAAATGTTTTAAACCCTTTTTAATCAGGATTAAATAATCTGGCACCATTACTTGGTAACGGGCTGGTTCTGTGGCACACTGCTCAGCCAGAAGGGTCTTTTTGCAAACAATAATTCAGTTTAAAGACACGGAGACTACAGTTTTATGCCTTTTTTATGTTATTTTTTGGATTTCTGTTGCTTCCTCCCCAATTCCCTTTGTAATGTTACCATCCAGATGATGCTCGTGTGATGAGGGCAGCAGGACACACGAATGTGACTGGGAACGTGTGAGCTGGATGAGCTTGCAAATTAATTTCTGTTCTCACACAGATGGTTTGACAATCAAAAACGGTAAGTAACAAAGAGAGTCTGGAATGTTAGAGAGGAATCTGCAGATGAAAGCATCACCTTCTGCCTCTTTTATTAACAACTTTCAAGCTGTGTATTTCATTCCAGCGGCTTAGAGCCTGCTTTTCTATATATGTCAAGAAATAGCACAAATTCTACTCCACAGCCCCCACCAGCTCCTAAAGGGCAAAACCCAAGCTCAGGGGATGGAATGGGGATTTCTGGCAGAGTAGAGGAGGACCAGCCTTCCTCTCAACCTCATTTTAACAGGAGGAAATTTCTCAATTGTAATTTGTGAAAAACCTACTGGAAACCCACTATGGATCAAGGCCGGGACTCCACAACTCCCCTTTCACTGCCAGGCTGAGAGAACAGGAAGAGGGGGAAATACAACGCAGACCTCCCTCAGAACAAAACATGAAACCTACTGCTCACTGCAAAAGGACACTAAGATGCTAAGAACCGAGTCTTCTGGAGATCTAGAGTTGCACTATTCCCTACTCGACTTGCAGCCCAGTTGTGGCAACACTGTGCTAGCTTCTACAAAATAGGAAGTGAATAACCTAAAGTCAATAAAACTAATCAATGAAAATGAAGTGGCAAAGAAAAAAAGACATTTTTCTCAGTTGGCTAGCTCCAAGGGGCCACTGACAGACATCAAATATCTAGTGTGGCAATTCTGCACCAAAAAAGGAAAGCAATTTTTACCAGGAGAAAAGAACCTACACGTAGCAGCAGCTGTGGCAGGAAGCAGAGTGATGTTTTTGGGGCAATCCTTCTTCACTGGAGTTGCAGGCATTTCATTTTCTTTTTTCCGTCTTTTATATGGCACAAAGAGTCGTACAGGACCACTCTACACAAAACAAAAATTAAAAAAAGAAAAAAAAAAAGAAAAATAAAAAAGGAAAAGGCATTAGCTGAGGCATCTCTCTGAGGACTCTGGCTTTACTCTCATCTTCCCAGAGGCAGCTAAGGTCAAGCAGCACGTATTCCCATGGAAGGCAGGCGGTTTGCAAGAATTGAACAAAAAATTCCTACTTCTCCAGGAAGTAGCTAAAGTCAAGCTAAAGACTCCTGCTTTCAGGACATTAACCTCATTTTTGAAACAAACAAACAAACAACACACCAAACCCCAAAACAACTAACCAACCAACCAACCCAAGCAGTTTAATATGGAAATATGGATCCAACATGGAGTATTACATCACTTCCGTATAAAACATTTTTTGCAGCTCAAAAAATTGTGAAATTTGAGACAAAAGTGACAAATAGCTTTGTCATCTCCAAAAGGCATTTTACATAAATACATTATTTAGGAAAGAAAAAGAAAGAAGATCAAAAGCATTAACTATCACCCAGTTTTACTAAGGCTGCATGCAAGAGCGCTGGCAGTTCCTCGTCTCCTTTCTTGGTGAAGCATGGACAAAGCACGCTGCAACCCCAGGACTTGTGAACATTTCTAGGACACTCAGAACCTGCTCGCAAATGGCTGTGGCAGCTTGACTAATTGTTTTTAAACTAGTGGATGTAAAACCTACAACTCACCAGAGTCATGTCGTCACAGCAAGCAGCACAGGTGCATGAGGCAGCATGAGGATTTAAAATCCCATCCTGAAATGAGAAGATTACTAGTTCAGCATTAGTCACCAAAACCACCGAGAGCAGGACTGTATCCTGCTAAAAGATTCTGACAGCTCCCAGGGAGATGTACCCACTCCTAGATTCTCAAATCAGAAGGCAAGGATATGTGAATTTGAGACTCTATAAAGTTTTGGCCCAAGCAGAAATCAACTGTCAACCTAATGGCAACGCCAAATTCTCCATGAGACTCCTGGACACTGCAGGAAATAAAAGACCCAAAGCAATACTCAGTGAAGAATGTGTTTATCAGGCAAACAAAGTTAAGCAGATGAGGTTACTGAATTACAGTATCATGGCTGAGAGCTTACTTCTCAATTTCTGCCCTACAGCTCAAGGCTGGACTTCATCCTGCGTCAACTGTAACCCCATTTCAAGTACAAGCAAGATTTGTATCATGTTATTTGAAAACATATCTAGAAAAATTCCTCTCACTTCACTGATTCTCAACCAAACCAAAATGTTCCTTCCAAGCTGCCCCACGGCACAATCGCCCATAACTCCGCAGGGGCAGCGCACACAGCTTGGACTCCACCTGCCCCCTCCAGCAGAAAGGAGGAAGCAAACTTAACCTTACGTGAATAAGGCACTGCAGCGGCCTCCCAGCATAGCGGATGCTCCTCTTCCAGTCTTTGCTGCTGGCTCGTCCCGCCATAGCTTCAAATTCAGTGGGGCTGTACCAGTTGTCCCCTTGCTTAATGCACCTACCACGGCCTCCTGAAACAAAAGCGAAGAAAGAAATTGTTAGTAAAGGTTAAGAATAATTTTGCCACTCTCCTAAACAAGTAAATACTGAAATTGGCAATTGCCAAATATGCCCATCTGCCACTTCTCCTCACTCTAGGACAACCATGCCCTTTATTATCTTGGCTGTGACAAAGACTGTGCATGTTTAGAGAGCTCCAACTTTGGGCCTCACCAATGCATCAAAAGGCTAGAAAAATGTACTCATCCACCATCAGTCTCTCTTGGATAAACACCATGAATTTAAGCCCTTCCTTAATTTACACTTAAACTTCTAATCCTTCTAGTGGTGAAGAGAACTCTACCCATGAAGCAAGTGCTGTGCAGTCAGGCTTGCCAACAGTTTCTGCTGCTGCTGCTTCTTCAGCTTTCCCACAGAGATAAAAGAGAAGAGGAGGGGCTAAGGCAGCTAAGGAGTCCCGTTAGGAGACAAGCTCTCTATTTTCTGTTCGAGCAGGGATTCTTTAGAGTTTTGTAGAAACACAGGTCTACTTCTGAGACAAAAAGAACATTAGAGGAGTCGACCTATTACCAGGGAGACTCACTGCACAGCAGCCTGTATCTTCACAGATTTAAGAGAAAAGTTAAAAAGCCTCTGAAGAAAGAGTAAAACAGATGAGAACAGCAATACTGAAAGGGACTAGCCTGGCTAGGAAACTGTCTTTTTTTCCCCCCTCACAATTGGCCCTTAAAAGTAGCCTGATTAAAAGAAGAGTGCACCACGTGAAGAAGAAGCCACCACACTTCCCCACCCAAGAGGGTCACTGTTACCTGAGCCAAGCCTGTTTTTATACAGAATGCCGCTGATATTCCGGCACCTCACCGGCAGTTCGTTCTCATACACAGACGGGTCCCAGTTATACTTTGTTCCAGTTTTTTCTCGGACAGTTGTTAAAGGGGCAGGAGGAGATTGCAGTCCTTTTGCTTTGGAAAGAAGAAAAGAAAGGTGACAGCAACCAAAAAGCACACTGGCTATACCTTCACACTCCCAGCTGGGCTGGGGCAACAGCGTTAACTGAGGCAGCTGTGGCCTCTCCACCACAACACGAGTTACATGGTGCGCCACAAAAAATTAAGTTTGAACATTCTGAAAATGACTGAAAAAAAAACAAACTGCATCTTAGGAAAGCCACTCTAATAGTGCATTAAACGCTGAGGTTGTAACCTGCAGTGGTGTAAGCCGCTGGCTCCATCTCCCCCTTCCCAGAGGCCGATCCTGTCAGGTGTTTTAAGGCTGAAGGTTTGCTGTGCCATCTTGTGGGCAGAGAGGAAACTGACAAGCAGACGTGGACAAAACCTTAGCAATAGAGATCAGCCATCAGGTAGCGCGAATGGGGATGAAACTATATCCAAGGACCCTTTAAACAGAATCCCTGTGCAGAACTGGGAGACTCATATTTTTGTTATCAACATTAAAATGTTCCATCTGCTTTTGGGGGTGGCATGGGTGCAGGAAGGTACGCGACAACCCAGCAGCAGGGCAATATTTTTCAAGAAGCTTATTTGCAAGGGTTAGGGCAAAGAATAAGGAAATTAAATATATTTCTGAAAAGAAAACAAAACAGAACAAATAAGTATTCTTCTACTCCCAAGGAATAAAAGTACTGTGTGAAGAAGGGACAAAATGATCTTCATAAGGCAACTGCATAATACTATGCACAGAATGTATTTTTATCCTAGAAACACAACTGAAGTCAAGAAAAAGTGACCCCTCTCTGAGAATGCCACTTCAAACCCAGATTTCATTATACCTGGTGTGAGAGGTGCTGATGGCCCCTTCAGCCCTGTGGTTTCCACAATGCTGCCGTCTGTGTGAACCACTATGAGAGTGGCTTTTTCAGTATTCAAGCTGTCCCCAATTTGGAGGGCTGTCCTCCCAGACTACAGAAGAAATAAAGAATTTAGACGACAGAGTTAAAATGTTTTTAGTCTTCCCACGAATCTTCTCAAAGGTACCTGAAAACACCAACCAGTATGGCAGTTCTTAGGGACTTTGCTAAGGCCCCCCAAGTGAAAGGACAGACTTACCAGCACATGTCCTGAAATTGAAGCTGCGTTTGCCACAGATGTAGTGAAAACATTGTCTGCGGAGGCACCAACATTGGCTACTGTCACTGTGGTGACTTCTGAAATGTAGAACAGACATGAAGTTAATATTCTTCTGCATCCAGAGAGCCTGATAAACAGCTAAACACCAAAAAATACAATTGCATTTCCTTCTTCCTTCCTATTCAAAATTAAATTTATTTTTCATGACACCTTTAAGTTGCTATAAACACAATCACTCTGATTTTCATTAAGCTTCGGGCTGAACATGCTTCAGCCTCCTGGAGACCATCGCAGTAGTTATCAGCATGCGATGAACTAACGGAAAAATGAATACTGCACCTGTACTAAAAAACCCCAAACGGTGATGCTTTTTATTAAAAGAGGGGTGAGCGGCAAACATCACGATAAAGAGAACTGACCCTCCCTCTGCCGTGTATTAATTTCTAGGGTGCCATTACTTGTATGCTTGGTCCAGTTAACAACTGTCCAAGCGTACAGCCAGCTGTCTGTATAGGTACAGCACATTTGACCGCCCAGCTAAAATAACGAGGTTTTTTCTACCACACATGGGGTGAGAAAACACCACTGAAGCTCACAGGGAGAACAATCGAGGTACGAAGGGCTCTGACATCTCCTGCGTGCCAGAGCTCGCCTTCACAATTCTGCATGTTTCAGGGCACGCTCTTAACAGGGTCAGACTCATTTTAGGTGTACAAAGACAGCTCTTGTTCATTTGACTTTACGGTATCTCATGTAAGAACGAGGAAGGTGTAGTTTCCTACGGGTCTGGCCGGCAGCAAGGCCTCCGCTGGGCCCTGCCCTCTCTTCGCTGAGGTACAGGACAGGGGAGGGCCCGGGGGCCAAGGGCGGGGCTGCCGGCTCCAGAGGCGGGAAGCGGCTCTGAGGCAGGAGCTGAGCCGGCAGCGCGGCTGAGGGAGCTGCGCATGCGCATTCCGCC